TGGATCTGCAGAAGATCTCTTGAGTCATGTCTGAGATCGATTGTGACTGAGTCGCTTTGAGAAGGGTTTAAGCAAAACAGTGGTACTTCTTAGGACTTGGTCAGATGCCTACTTGGCTGTAACTGTTGCAAGATGATAACTGCAATAATAAATATTTCAAAGAAACTGGATCTTACTGCGTTCTCTGAGCAGTTATGAGAATGACTTAATTAGATTTCTGGGAATGAGATGACTTTGAGCAATCAAAGTGAAATATAATAAGTCACAATACCAGGAAAGTCCTGTGCTACTGTAACTGACTGGACACCGAGGGGTTTATTTGTTTGTGTGCTTTTCAGGAATGACAGAATCAGGCTAATATTTATTAAACCTTGGCCTAAGAGCAGTGGGAATTACTATGGAAGAATGTCAGATGCGTCCTTTAAACACTGGTTAATACAATATAAGAAATGAGCCACGGGGCTGATACTCATATCTGAATTAGTGTTTTCAGCTTATGCTTAGTATTAAAAAAGGAGTAACTCAGTGCCAGTACCTTAATGATTGCTCTTTCCTGTTTGGAGGAACCTTCTAATGAGTTCCCTACCTCCTTAGCACTAATGGCTACTGATGGAGATGGACTGAGGTTCTCCAAAGGATCTCGAGGATGTTTTGGGCTTTTATTAGTGTTTATTTGCATGGAAGGGCAGATGATGAGCACTGGACTCAAGTGGAGGTGGGCGGCTGTCCAAGCTAATAAACACACTTGGGAAAGTCATTAGGGTTTGTATGGGAGGGGGAAAGTGGGGTGCATCTGCAGCCACTGGCTCAGGAGTTTATTTAGTGTCAGAGATTAATTATTGAAGACAGATGTTGTTAGAGCATTGCAGCTCTATGCTAATGGAACAGGGGATGATTAACGTTTGGTGTGTGGGTGGGGAGGAAATGCAAAAAACATCTTAAACTACTGGTAATTGTTGCTCCTGAGGGTAGGTTCCAGTGAGGGGAGCCTTCAGTTCAACTTAAATTTACCTTAAATTGAACAACCCAATTGAATTCAGCCTTTGCTTGTCTTTTTCTACCTCTCCTGCCTTTTTTTTGCTAGTGAATTTGTCATTCCTAACTAGAGACATCATGGAGTTGATCCAATATCTTCTCCAGATATGAACTCTGTTACAGGGAATTCCCCATGTTAGGATGGGGGAAGCACTATGAGACGTGGGCTGTGGAAGCTATAATTGGCTGTGCCAAATGGAATATGGACCAATCAATCAAATACAATAATTTCATGAATTTCCAAATCCTTTCTCTGGCAAATTCCTGAATTTTGAATTTTGGTAGGTTTTGGAAATAGCAGCATTTATTATATTTCACAATAAACTAGATCGGTCTCACTAGTTTGTTCTCATATTAAAAAAACAAAATGACATAAAATCCTTTTTGAATACATCTTTGTTCATGTTGGGGGTGAATTTCTTTGACAGGCTTCTTTGAGTGAGATGTGCTCTGGCAGGCAACTTTAAAAATAGAGCTCTGCTAACACCCAGGTTTTAGCATAACAATGGCTGATGGATGAGGACTGTGTTGAAATGTTGACATGAAGCATAAGCCAGGATGGTGAGGAAAGAATCTATAGCATGTATAGATGTAAAGCAAGGGGGCGTAAGATGTAAAGAAAAATAATACAATTTCATGGAATCATAGAATGTGAAGGGCTTGGAAGGGACCTTAAAGCTCATCCCATCCCACCCCCTGCCATGGGCAGGGACACCTTCCACTAGCCCAGGTTGCTCCAAGCCCCGTCCAACCTGGCCTTGGACACTTCCAGGGATGGGGCAGCCACAGCTTCTCTGGGCAACCTGTGTTGTGTTGTGTGTGGAATAACACACAAGGAGATATCTCTCTGTATATCTGCTGCACCTGCTAAGCTTTTATAAGGTCAGATTGGAGCTTCGGTAGTAAAAAGATAAAGACACAGAGTGGATTGTATTGAGCAGTAGCCCACAGGGACAGGGGCTCTGGAGGTTACTCGCTTTTGCCAGTGTGGTTGATTTAGGTCACTGTGAGAACCTGCAGTATTTTGAGGAGAAGCTGCCCAGTTCATGGCTGTGCGTTTTGTGGTTTGCCTCATGTCCAAGGCCTCTGTGGGAACGAGGGTTGGAGATGTTGGCTACAAAAGCACTTGGAAAGTAGATCTCCAGACAAGCCCGTGGTTTCATTCTGACTGGTCTTTGGGGCTATAATGGCCCAGTGCAGCTGCCTGTTCACTTGAACTGTGTGTTGTTTGAGTAGTGGGGGCACAGCTGATGTGAAAAAGCAAGATAATTTAAAATTTGAAATAGTTCATCCAGAATTCTCTCCTCGGAGCCCCTGGCACAGGTTGCCCAGAGAAGCTGTGGCTGCCCCTGGATCCCTGGAAGTGTCCAAGGCCAGGTTGGGATGAGCTTGGGTAGTGGAAGGTGTCCCTGCCCATGGCAGGGTGGGGGGGAGCTTTAAGGTCCCTTCCAGTCCAAACCATTCTGGGATTCTGTGATAAATTGTCTGTCATAATTCGTGTACTGAAAATGGAACAGAAAGCTTTGCTGTGAGGTGGGGGAATGGGGAAGAGGTGAAGCTGTTGCTCAAGGATTAGCCCTGCAGGGGCTTAAACTAACTGTTGCTTAAACTAACTGCCTGCTGCATCACCAACACTCAGCAAGCAGCCAAAGCAGTTAATATGCAATGCTGAGTAATAGATGAATTACATTTATCAGATTATAATAACGGGAAAGCCTTTTATGATGAAGACTTAATTCCATTGGGCTGGCTGAGAGCGTAACGTTCGAACTATCAGCTATAAAATAATTCCGGCATGTAGGAATTAACTTCCTTAACTGATAATTAGTAACTAATGCTGGGAGAAATCGCTGTCTCATGCTTGCAAAAGTACAAATGGTTTACTTAACAGATATAACTGAAAAAAATGTGTAGAGTGTTTAGACCTAGACCTCAAACAATTGTAAACTCTTCCATAGTTGGTCATGACTGCTTAAAATACATTAAGCTACATACTCATGATGTTGCTAAACCCTTGCTAAAGGGTTCAAAGTTAACCAAATGGTGACAATTGTAGAGTAAGTTGAAAATCCTCAAGTGGGTGAAAACAGCATTTGCAGCACAGTTTCATCTGGAAATATGTGGTAGCTCTGAGTCAATAAATATATGGACATGACTCTTATACTGCAGAAACTAAAAAGCCAAACTTGAACTATTAACACTTGAATAAGGAGAAACTGAATGAGAGGGAAAAGGCTGTAGAATTATGTTGAGCTTATCTTCTTCTATAAGTTGGCATATTCGGTGTCATCTGATTTATTTAACAAATATAGGTGTTCTGTACTTAAAGCTTCAGAAATGGCAGGCAACAAGAGTATTTCTTGGCTGGTATATTTTTAAAAAACAGTGTAAATAGAGACTGCAATCAGTTGTTGTGGAGTGCTACTGGATAATGTTGGTTATGTTGAAAAGAATCTGTGGGGCATTTGTAAACTGAGGAGTGAGTAAACAGAAGGCTAAACTCTGTGGGATCTCTGTAGTAATTTTCTGATTGCACCAGGTAGATAACTTATAGCCTTGTGCAGTTGTAAGTAACTGAGGTCCAATTTTACATTCTTGCTGTATACTACAGAATTAGTTCATAAAGTAGGATGCGTGCATTTTCAAACTGAGCTCAAATCCGCATGAGCATCATGCTGAGAATTAGAGGGAGAAGGGAATAGAAGAAAGCACCTAGGTAAGAGATTTTTGTAAGAAATAATAGAATATGGCTTTTGCTTTAGGTTATGTTGTGCCTCTAATGCTTTGCAGTTAGTCCTGTTTCTGGTCCCCTGTGTTCCACTTCAGAACATCTCAGGCATGCATAGGTTAAGCCCAGAAAGATGGAAGGACAAAGTACAGGTGGTAAAAGTAGAGAAAATGCAATTCATGAAGAGACTTGGCTTATCTGCATTTTGCAACCAAACGAATTAGTGCTGAATGTTAATGAAGCATCCTTGTTAACATCAATACATTGTGGCTGATGCACAGTGAGCCTCAGTGATCTCGACTTTACGTAACTGCTTCCATTTACTCTTCAGAAAACTGGAAGACCCAGGCTTGGCTTGCCTGTTAGAGCTTTGGAAATGTGAGACTTTGCAAATATCAGTGGCTGTTCCAGTAAGGAGGAGGCTGTAATTACTTGAATGAAACTTGACCGACATATGAACAAGAAGTATCTGTTGAGGGCCTGTTGCCAAGTGTGGATTTGTACTTAAGCGGATATAATTACGTGGACTTTGTACTGGATTGTTTGACAGATTAAATTTCTATGATAGCGCGAGATAACAGGAGGTCACAGTCCAAGAATAAGGTTCTGGAGAATATGTATTCACAGCTGGGGTGCTAATCTGATTAATTGAAAGCAGACTCCATTCATGACGAATTCATGTTGTTGGATACAAGTGTCAGTGCCAGTTGTGAAGGCGGTGTGAGGTCTGTGCACTGAGAATGGTCTTTGCAGCGGTGCTGGGAAAATTGAGTGGGGTCTCCACTTCTCAACGTGCTTGGCTGCTTCTCCAAGCCTGAAACAGCCTCCTCAGTGTCTGATGGAGCCACAGCTGCCAAGCAGTTTTTGGCTCAGAGGTTTGTGTGGGATTCTTTCCCCTGGTTATCAGGCTGAGAGCTCCATTGATCCCCGCAGCCCTTGGGCAGAGATGGAGTGCGGTGTAAATCTGTCTGGCCGTGGCATTAAGGAAATAGGAGGTCTCACACGTGGGCTGTGGTCAGTGGTGCTGGGTATGGAGCACATGGACTCCAAGAGCAGCTGGTGTTCTATTTTCAGAAGCCCTGAGGAGCCGTGATCCCAAAGTGTTGATCTGCTGCCTCTTAGGTCAGCTCATGGGAGAGCCCGGCGTAGGCACGGGGCAGCTGCAGCCTCTTCCTGCACACTGTGTAGAAACTCTGGCAACTGGGAGTTGTGCCTGTTATGTAAGAGGAACAAATGACTGCCTGGGATGATGTAAAAGGAGCTGCGTGTCTCGGGATGGCTGAAGGAGTCACCTCCAAGAGCTCCGCTCCTCTCCGACCCGAGTCCTGACGATGTGTTTGGACCAGCATTGATACATATAAGTGATTTCTGCACTTTGCTTTTTTGGAAAGGATGTTATTTGCTGCAAAGGAATTGGAAGGAGATGGCATTTCAGAAATAGGTATGATGATGTTTTCCAGCTTTCAGTGCAGTTTCTGTTCTGGAATAATGTCTTTGAGTGCTTTACCTATTTAGGAACAGGCATCTTACGACTGATTTTTAAGTACGGCACTAATGAGGGATTGCTTGCAACACAAACAAGTCAATCTTGTCAGAATTATTCAGACAGGTACCTTGCAGCTGTATCTGAAGAAAATTCAGTCCTCTCTGTAGGTATTCAGCTCATGCCATTTGAAAGGGAGAAGTGTTTGGCGGAAAGAGATTTAATTTAAGAAACCTCATTAAGTATATTGTGGGGTAGATGCAGTAATTCAATAATGAAGTGATTCATGTGCATTCCTGATAATTTTTAAGAAGCTCTTGATTCAGTGCATGTAATTTTTTTTGTGTATAAGGTTTTGCTTGTGTAATTGATAACCTGGGGATGTGGCTGACGTGCAGACTGGACTCAGAGGCTTTCTGAAAAGCTTCAGTGAGTATTGCTTTAGGTTGTGCACAAAGCAGTAGGGTTCTGTGAAGTCTTCTGAAAGCCTGGATAAGCAAACACTGTTATAGTTATAGAGAAGCTCTGGAATGAAAACCCTGGAGGAACAGACTAATTTTCTATTAAAAACATCTGAAGGAAGGTAATGATCTGTAGAAGTGGAGTGTTTGGAAACAGTTAATTTAATTAATTAATGTGTCCTCTTTGCTCATCTGAAAAAAGCTTTTAGAAAGGACTGCAGACATCTGCAGTGCTTTTTAATATTTGATGGGCTGTACAGTTCCTTACAGAAAATTCATGACCTGCTCTATTTCTGTGAGGCTGATTCGGTGAGAGCATCAGTGAAAGAAGTCGGGTGGATTCCTTATCTTCCTATTACAAAAGATACTGAAAGATTAGATCTGCTGCAGATTTACTTACTGTTTTCTTCTCATGTCTGTGAGCTCTGCATCAACAGATAATTTTTGGGGCTCTGGAACTGAATCATTGTTGCCCAGGATGCTTGTTCTGCTTATGGCTGGAATAAACACATTGGTAAGGCAGAGATTCACTGCTTGATGCCCTTGGGATTCCTGTTGCCAAAGGAAATATTGTAAGCCTTTAGCAAACATCTGAGGAGCAGCTCAGCATGACTTGTATATACAGGAAGAATTTCAGCGCAAGCAGATGCAGCAAAATGAGTGCTGAATCTGTAACAGGCTTCAAAACAGGCTGCTTTCAGTTTGAGAAGATCCTGGAAACCTGACCTTTTCTCAGTCCCTGGGTCCTGTAAGCTGCCCAGTTCCTTTGGCTTTCCTTGCCCTCTGGCAAAGGGGTCTTTATTAACAGTTGGTTTGTCCTCCTCACACTGACAAAACTACTTAGAAAAAGGTCAGATTCGAGTGGTGGCAAAGAACTGTAGGAGCCCCCTGAAGACACTGTGATAAGCTTTGGAAAAAGGAGAATATACATTGCCTGCTGAAGTGTTTAAAAAAAGCTGTTTGTCCATGGAATTTTTTTTTTCCCCTGAGTGAATATTAAGTTTCCACAGTTAAAATCCTCACTTCTCAAAGCTGGTTACTTGTTTTTGGTCCCCAGTTTATGGGTCTCTTGTGTAAACTGTTGTCACAAGATGCAATAAAGTTTTAGTTGTGGGGAATGTGAATTTTTGGCATTTCACATGACTGTGATATATCCTAGCTCAGTATATGGAGCTGTATTTCACTATTTTAAACTACCCAAAATCTTGTTAGTCTTAAGTGCGTAGCTGATGATGTCAGTTTTCCAGTGCTTAACCAGTTGTCCATAGTCAGTTATGGAGAGTCATGAAAAGAGGTTTTTTTTTCTCCTCAGGCTGAGGTTTGGGAACTGAGCGTTCCCGGAGTTGTTCTGGTGAAGATGTTCACAGAGCCACTGCAGAACTGCAGGATGGGTTGGGTTGGAAGGGACCTTACAGCCCATCCCACCCCCTGCCACTATCCCAGGTTGCTCCAACCTGGCCTTGGACATTTTCAGGGATCCAGGGGCAGCCACAGCTGCTCTGGGCAACCTGTGCCAGGGCCTCACCACCCCATGGGGAAGAATTCCTTCCCAATATCCCATCCCATTCCCCTTGTTTTGTCCCTCCAGGCCCTTGTCCCCAGTCCCTCTCCAGCTCTCTTGGAGCCCCTTTAGGCACTGGAAAGGGCTCTGAGGTCACCCTGGAGCCTTCTCTTCTCCAGGCTGAACACCCCAATTCTGTAAGAAATCCTTGGAAGCTAAGTGTATTGATTCATGGCTCAGCTATAATGGCAGCAGCTTCTTCCCCTGACAGAGCCAAAATGAACACATGGAGTATATCAGAATCTGGTAAACATATTATTTTAGAGGAGAGGGGGTTACCGAAGTTTAGCAGGTTAAAGAACTGTTAATAGCAGAGTCTCAGTATTTGCAATGAAGAGTTAAGTCCCTGGGGTTACTCGTATGGTCTGGACGACTCTGAGTTCAATTAATATCCTTATATTTTGCCATTAGGTAGGTAGGAAACAGCAAATCCAAACACTCTGCTGGCAGAACTGAGTGCTGGGGTTTCACTGTTCCTTATCATGGAGTCAATAAGGTTGGAAAAGACCTCCAAGACCAGTGTTTGGACCATACACCACCCTGTCAGCTAGACCAGAGCATGAAGTGCTATGTCCAGAGGCAATTTGACAAACTGACATCAGTTTGAGCTTCTATTTAGAAATCTTCTGTATGGAAAATGTCTGAAAATATAGTGGCAATAGTTAAAACTCTGTAATGCCTGAATGTTTGCTTAAATTAGTGGATAATAATGAAGATGAGATGTGATAGAAAGTTTGTCATTAATGATGAATAAACTCCATCTGTATAACGAAAAAACTGATGTCTCTGCTCTTGAGCATCTTAACTTCAGGTTTTTTCCTTTATGGAAAAAAAAGAAATTGCATTTTTTGGGAGTTCAGATGTGTTGTAAGCCTCAGGCATATTGTTGTTATCCCAGGAGCAATGGGTGGAAATAAATGCAAGGGTGGTGATAATGAGCAGTGCTTGCTGTCTGCTGAGAGAGCTGATAATACACAAAATTCACCATTTGCTTCAAGTAGTCTCTTTGTGAAGACAGAAACATGGAAACCTTTTATAAAACCCCAACACAACAGCAGAAACAGCTATTAAATAGATCCTACACCCAGACTGCTCCATTTTCTGCTATTTGGCATTAAGCACTAATTAACTTCTGCACAATGTTAACTCAGCTGAGCTTGGTACCAGTCAAAACATGTTAGTTGTGTATCATTAATAACACAAGAAAAAAATGGGCTCTTGGTAAATATAAATACATGCTGATAGCACTTCCTGTGTTTGGAAACACAGCCAATGTGATCCAGTGTCAGCTTTTATAAAAGTATGAGATATGGGGCTGTAGGATTTGCCTGATGCTCACCAGCTTCTTGTCAGTAAATGGAGCATTTCGTTTTTGCAGGGACTTTGGGGATTAATTGGAAGTGCTCATGTGCTGAGAACTGTGCATTAAGCTAAAGAAAGAGGAGGAGCTCTTCAATGAGAGAAACTACCTTCCAGTTTTATCAGTGTTTTTAATAAGCATGCTTAATGTTTGAAAGAAAATATAATTCTCCTTGCTTGTGTGAATATAGAGGAAACTGCACACTTAGGGATGGAGCAGGATTGTTTCTACTGTGATTAGAATATTCATAATGCTCTTGCAAGGAGACTGGCAAGTGAATGATGGATTGATGGATGTTTTCCTTCACCAGGGCAGTATTTCTGTGAGCAGTGTCCACTGGCAGAACAGAGCAGCGAGATAAACACTGTGCAGTGGCCAGGTCATTCTTGATTAGTAGGTTCCACCTGTGCAGGGGAGAAGATGTAGATGTTGTTCAGGATCTCTAAAGGTGAAATGTTGATTCCTGTTTTGAATCATCTCCTTACCTGAGGGATAATGATGTTAGTTTGAGGATTTTGCCCAAACAGCATTTACCCCTGCTGCTCTCAGGACCTGAGCTAATAACGTGCTAAGAAAGTGAACACTTGGCCTTATTCTGTGTTCATTTTCAGTTGATCATGTGGGGTTTTACCTTTGCAGTACCCTCAGGTATGACCTTCTGTAAACAGGGATATGGCAAGTTAATGAACATTCCCAGCTGGTGTACCAATAAAGGCAGGTTTGGGCGGTACAGGAGGACTTCAAACTCCAGTAATTCTGGTGACTTTTGGAAGCAGAAGGATGTTGAGGTGGGAGTTTGCTGTGGTGTCAGTGCTGTGAAACTCTAAAAGTAACTGGCAGGTGAGGCTGAAATCATCTTCCAGGAAGATGACATGGAATAATGTTGCTTGCTAGTGGGTATCCAGAGCGTTGGAATCCCACAAACCTTTTGTTGTTTCTAGGCCTTGAAGGTCTTATTTTTTTGTGTGCCATCTAACTGGGAACACAGCTCGATGGGAAATACAATATTCTCTTCTAAATGTAGTTGGTTTTCCCTAGTTAAAGTAGTGGGTATAATATACAGCAGGAAAAGAGAGTATCAATAAGGTATGTGCCATGTGTAAAAGGGAAGAAAAATCCATCTGAGTCCTGATCGTGAACTCCCAACATGTTAAGAATGTGGTTTTTTGGGGAAAAAAAATGTGTACTTTAGTCAGAAGATGATGGCCATGTTGGTACTTTGGTAAATGAAGAATGGTGGCTGTTGAGTTGTGTTTGAAGTGAAGCAGATATTCCGTGTACCTACACATGAGGTGCTACTTTAGCTAAAAATCAAGCCATAATTCAGCAGTCAATTAATATATGACTGTAGAAATAATTACATCTTCAATTTATTTTAGAATAAGATAAATTGAAAGCTAATTTTATTAATAAACACCCATCTTCTAAATTTTCAGGCTGCGTGAATGTTTTGCTTAAAGCAGCTTCTGCACAGGAAATGCAGTTCTGGGAAAACATCTGAGAGGGATCATACACATCCAAAACAGAGCTGTTTGATCTTGGTTCGTGAGCTTTGATTCCCTAAAATAGCTGCATA